CACATCAGGATGGCCGACCGTTGAGGAGAGAGAGCCACCAGCTCTCAGATCCTGGCCGAGTGGATCTCTCTCCTCACCGCTCGACCATCCTAGATGACAGCTCCCTCCAGCGCCCCCCGCCGGCTGCAGCGCTCCATTTCTCATTGGATCCCTTCTGCCTCTGCCCATACAGGCGGGGGGAGCAACGGGGATCCGAGGAGAAGCTGGAGCCGGCCCTGGCTGTGCCCCCTCTCAGCTGTGCCTAAGGCGAGTGCCTCACTCGCCTCATGGTAGCTATGGCCCTGATTCTGCATAAATAAGCATTGAAGTCCCAGTGCCACTTGGATGTATCCATTTGAAAATTCAATGACAGGCTGACACATGCAGCAGCTGTACAGATCTTTCTGCACATCCTATTGTATACATGTGTAAAGGGCCATACTTTCCTCCCTGTATGCATGTATATTCTTGTATGTGTGGGAAGTTCCATACTTCGGCTGCATGCATCAGCCTGTCATTAATTTTTTCCAGGCAACACGGAACACCTATGACTACCGGGTGCCTCCAGGGCGCTTAAACAAGGGCCTGCTGCTTGATGTACGGGTCTCTACACCCATGTGACTGTGCCCTTACCATCACTTTATCTTTTTTTGTATATTACTCACATAGGGAATCCACTGTTTTCCAGGGATTGTATTATAAGAGGCAGCAGTAAGGCCGAACACTTGTGTAGCACTGCAAGCAGAGCCTGTTTATGCCATTATGGTTGTCCCACAATATACAGACAGTATATGATTATGTTTATACAGCTCTACTGTACATACTTCTCACTGGATATTTCGGTGTATATATTCTATGTCTTTGTGTTACCTGTATTACTTTTTGTTGGAATCACTCTTCTCTACATAATGAGGTACATCCGTTGTAATAAAAAAATATGAATCCACTTACCAAGAATATCATTTCCACTTTTCCAATTCCTTTCCGGAGAGCAGATCCCAAATGGTCACCAACTCCTGCCAGCAGGATGCCAAACAATGGAATGCCTACTAGCGCATAAAAAATACAGAACGTCCGTCCCCCTTCTGTTTTCGGGGCATTGTTACCAAAACCTGTAAAATACCATGGGGAAAAATAATTGACTCAAGTTAAAAAGGAAATAATAATTGTATTGTTCTTCAATCCATTTTCTATCCTATCTATCCCACTGCTTCTAAAAAAATAAAATAATAAAGAAAAAATAAAATAATAAAAGCTGTAGTTAATCCAATATTTCCATATGGTGAAAGATGTAGGAGTTCTTTTAAAAAGGCCTTTTTATGTTAATGGCCTTCATGAATATGTTCTGTGCGTAGAACGATTTCAGTATTATGAAGTGTTACTTTTTACTGCACATATTTATTTTTTTGTTCATTGTAGCAAGCAATTAACCCATTGACAACTGCTTCAATTTTACCCCACTGAAGTGTCTTCAGAAAGAGATTAATCTTATGATATGAAATATTTAAGATCTTATATGCAGCTGAGCCTAAAGCTAACCTTAAGCAAGTGTAGACCGCAGCATGATCCAAATGACAGTCTGAGCATGTACAGAGAGAAAGCCAATTTTATGTCCCTGATTACATAGTTGGAAAGTGTCATCTTTGCTGATTAGGCAGAGATGAGCTGCCAACGCGTGCTAATAAGACGTTCCTGGCATGTCCAATGGGTGTACATGATAGGTGAAAAAGCAATCTTCTGTGAATCAGACTGTGTCTGATGGAACATTCAGAAGCTCTAGTGCATGAGTATCCATACTGTACTGTTGTCATGAGCTCTAAATCATAAAATTCTGCTTATTATTGACCCCAGTCATGATCTACCCGCTCATGTTTAATGCTGAATGCTCAGTTTCTTAGATGAAGCTCACACAGTGAAAGGAGCTCTAGTTTGCAAAATCAAATATGTACTGTTTATTAGAATTGTTACATTTGTAAAAAAATCTTGTAGGCTATTCATTCACTAAAGGGGTAGATCATTTAACATTTGCATAGCAAATAAGGTGAAACTGTGCTCACTTCATCCAATCAAGGGCAAGCAAGAATCTTTATTTTTACATTTCCTGTGCACATGATTAGGTATTCAAAGTGAACATCACTTCATCCTGTTTGCTAAGCTAAGAGAAAATTCTCTGCTCCTTTTATCAATCCCACTGACGAAAGCTGCCCATACACCTTACAATTATCTGCAGATTTTCTATGGTCAGATGGAAAAGGTGCAACAGATTCCTCCATCTACACTTAACTGTGTGGATCGAGGAATCTCCACCTGGGCCAATCTGTTGTAGAAAACTACAGCAGAGGAAGAACCTCCTCTGCCAGGCATGACTGTGCTGTGTGGCACAGCTGTTTAAATGTCAGGACTAAATAGACAAACAAACAAACAAACAAAACAGCCCCTATATGTTTATTTCATCTCTGTATTTAGCTCTTTGCCTGAAGCTTTAGGGCCCATTCACACCATGTCCAGATCATCTTCAGACCAGACCAGATTGTTTCCGGGCCCAAAATGCATCCTAATGTATCCCTATGCAATTTCTGGCCTCTGTCCACAACAGTGCCGTCCAGACCAGAGCAGAAAAATACTGCTTGTCTTATTTTGTCTGGTCTGGAATGCACCGGAACACATAGAAAAGCATGGAAACGCATCAAAAACACATACAAATGCACTGGAATGCACCTATAAGCACCATTTTGAGGCCTCATTCACACCAGACACAGTTCATGCCCGATACTGGCCAGAACGCACTGCATCGCATTGCGGCCTGCTCACTATGTTGTGGGGCAGGAGGTGGCGGTCCATTGAAGTGCATGGCACCGTAGCCCCGCCCTCTGGCTGCAGTACGATCGGCCGCACTGGAACACAAGGCACATGCTGCAGGCACTATTTTGCCGATCGTATTGCAACCGGAGGGCCTGGCTACGGTGCCATTCACTTCAATGGACCCCCATGCCCCCTCCTGCCCCCTCCTGCCCCACAACATAGTGAGCTGGCCGCAATGCGATGCATTGCGTTTTGGCCAGAATCGGGCCGGAACACACTGTGTATGGTGTGCAAGAGGCCTAAGCTAAAAACAAACAATTTCCAAAAGCGACAAAATCACGGCAAAACCATGGTAAAAATGCTGCACAAATGCAATGCACTGCGTTCCAGATCTGGTCCGGAAAATAGTTTGAATCTGCCCTTAATGTTATAGTACTGTTATAGTACTGTTACCAGTAGATTATTCCCCTCACACGAGTAACAGCTGGCCCATACAGATCCATGCTGCGTACACATCCGTATCGGGCTGCTTCTGGGAAGGACAAGTGCTTTGTACGCAACACCTGTTCTTCTCTATGGGAGTAGGCCTCCCTACGCTCACTCGAACTGCACGTCCGTGCGGGTGCGGGTATCCGTACTTGTACACTGATTGGATGGATCCTGTCTGCGTCTGAGCAAGGAAACCCGCACCCGTACAGACGTACAGTTTGGGTGAGCGCAGGGCGGCGTACAGCCGCGTACTCCCGTGTACTCCCATAGAGAAGGACAGGCTGCTGCGTACAAATCACACGCAGCACCTGTCCTTCCCGGGAGCAGCTCGATACGGCCGTGCACGCAGCATGGATCTGTACGGGCCAGCTGTGTGAATGAGGGCTTATGTTAAAAAATTTTGGGGACAGATAGAGCTTTCTTTTGGTGGTATATAATCACCACTTGGGGGGGATTATTTTTTACTATATAATGAAAAAAGTACCGTAAATTTCAAAAAGAAAATGCTTTCCCTACGTTATGTTAAAAAACATTTGTTCTTACCCATATTTTTGGTAAAATATAAAAGATGGGGTCACGTTGGGTAAATAAACACCAAAAACGTCAACCCTTAAAATTGCATGCACCCGCAAAATCGCAAAAAAACGACCACACCAAAAATTGGCCATTGGTGACGCTTTAAACGCTTTTACTGCTCATCGATTTAGTGTTATCAGTGATTAATGGCCCTAAAATTATTGCTCGCACTCCGACGTTCACGGTGATATGTAACATGTGCGGCACAATAGGCGCAATTGTCGTTTTTGCACATAGGCGCACCGACGCATGTTTGTGTGTGTATATGGGGGGTACGGGACTTAAAAAATTATTAAGTGTTTTTAATTTGTTTACGGTTTAATTTTATTTTATGCTTTTTTTTTTTTTTTTTGCACTGAACTTTATTTCTATCACATAGGGGGCTAAGATGCTCCCTATGTAATAGCCAATTTACATGACAGGTCCTCTTTATGGAGAAATCAGGGGTCTCCAAGACCCCTGATATCACCTAGGGACCTCCAGAGAAGCTGATGAAGCAGAGATCTGCTTCCCCAGCTTCTCCCCAGCTTCTGTAACTGGGAATGGCAGCTGAATGCGGACGTGATGTAATATACATCACTTCCTGCATTTGGGGATCTCGGGACAGGCAACGGCAGTGACAGCGGCGGCTGCGGAGGGGGGATTGCAGCTAATACAAGCAATAGGGCGTCTCTAGACTAATACATTGCCTATTGCTAATACAAGCAATAGGACGCCCAATCGCTTGAATGTAAAGTTCCCGGCCGGCCGTTTAATTACAACGGCTGGCCGGGAAGCTGCTCGTCGGGCTCCAGCGTCCTCTCGTCACAGACAAAAAGGACGAGTGGATTTTTCAAGCCCTGTTCATTTAACACGTAAGTAGAACCATAAAATACACTGCCTGTCCAAAAAAAAGTCACACACTCTAATATTTTTTTGGACTGCCTTTAACTTTGATTACAGCATGCATACCCTGTGGCATTGTTTTTATAAGCTTATACAATGTCACAACATTTATTTCTGTCCAGAGTTGCATTCATTTTTCTTTTTTAATTTGTTCTAACATACACTGTGTTACATGCTTATAATTATACTCATACTTTCAACTACAATGTAATAATTTTGAAACAAAGCATAAAGAAAAGAAAAAGGGAGGGGAAAACACACAAAAACAAAAACAAAAAACACACACATACAAAAACAAGACTACCCCACCATATAAGGGGATTCCGGCAACCCTATGATATTCCTTCATTATAATCTTATTCTAGAGCACATCAAAATCGCCCTATGAATTATCCCAGCCCATAATCAATCTATTCTATTACTATACAGCCCCTCTATCCTATATTCTCTATATATCTCGAGGTTTTTTTAAACTCAGTCCATTGTTGCCAGGTATGCATTCATTTTTCAACAAGATCTTGTTGTGATGATGGGAGAGTTGGACCACTATGCAAAGTCTTCTCCAGCACATCCCAAAGATTCTCAATGGGGTTAAGGTCTGTACTCTGTGTTGGCCAATCCATGTGTGAAAATGATGCCTCATGCTCTCTGAACTACTCTCTCACAATTTGAGCCAGATGAATCCCGGCATTGTCATCTTGGAATATGCCATGCCATCAGGGAAGAAAAAATCCATTGATGGAAAAACCTGATGATTCAGTATATTCAGGTAGACAGCTGACCTCATTTTTGGGCACATAACATTGCTGAACCTAGACCTATTATCCAATAGAAGGCTCTCGTCTATTTGCTTAGCTAAATCCAGGTGGTGACTTTTTTTTTTTTTTGGACAGGCAGTGTATTTCAGAACTCTTAACACAGGTTTAAAAATGAAGACTGTCTGTCAGGGCCCAGAGCCCCATGAGAGCACTTGATTTCTCCTGAAGACATGACAGACGCAACCACGTGAATGCATGATCGATAGTGATGACTACTCAGAAAAATGTGCTTTACACTGACCTCACAATACAGTTCAGAGAGCACTTACACAGTGCTATCAGATATACTGAATATGTATTTTTATAGTTATAAGCGCTGTTTGATACTGTACTACTAGTAATACTGACATAGTTAGAAAATTCCAGACCTTGTGCGATACATAATATCATTCTCTAGCACCAAGGGCGTCCCCAGGTGTGGTGTCACCCGGAGCGGCCGCCAGGTGACACCCCGCTGGGACATCATCGCGCACACACAACATCATCATGCACGTGTGTAATGACATAACGTGCGCTCATCTACTGGCGGCCTTCTTGGTAATGTACGCCGGCAGAGAAAGGAGGGGACGTTTACCCGGCAGGATAAGGTATGCCATCGGGTCATCTCCTCTCTTGTGCAACTGTCAGGCTCTCGGTCCATGACCGAGTGCCCAACTTTTCAGAGGGGGTGACTGTCAGTTTGGTGTCATTTTAGTGTCACACCCCCCTTGTGACCCCACTGTCTAGCACCTTATATGTTATATATGTAAACTATTTAGGTTTGAGTAAACACATTCTTTTAGTCCTTTTTGCAGAGTGCAGGCCAATGATCACACCTGGGTCTGTAGCACTCCTTCCACTATGTCAGTTAACTCCTTATTATTACTGTACACCCAATAAAGTGCTCCATAAGCAAGTAAGTATTTGGCATTGTGCACAGTAAAGTAGGAAGTGCCCAAAGAGGGATCACTTTGATCCTCTGAGCTAGCTTGAACATGTATTGCAATATATGTGAACAAAGAATCTCTGTTTTTTGGGACAAGTTTGCTAAAAGTGTTTAATAGTAGATAGTAGTATGCAGAGGGTTAATTGAGAATTGTGTGTGTTAACATGTTCACATCCCTCTAGCACCTCATACAGTATGTTATATATTGGTAACTTTGGGCAACTGCTGCAGTTTTGATAAATCCTCCCCTATATTTGTAAGCTATTTAAGGGTCTATTCACTAAGCTGCCGTAGGCAGCCGAGTGAATGACCGACCTGAAGTGAAGTGAGCCGAACACTGTTCGGCTATTCACTTCAGGCTGGCATGGCTGATTTCAGCCGTATATCGGCTGAAATCAGCCATACATTGGCTTGCTTCGCATGGCTTCGGGTAGGCCGAACATGCTCAGCATGTTCGGCTTACCCCGAAGTGCAGAAGGAGTTTGACTCAGCCGATCCAACATCTGGATCGGCTGAGCCAAACCTCCGGCAGGCTACCTACTGCTGTTCGGCCTATTCTTATAGATGCCGAACAGCAGTGAGTGAATAGCCGAATGCTGCTCAGAGGGACCGAGCAGAACAGAAGAATAGTTAAAAAAGTAAAAAAAAAGTAAATAGAAAACGATTGTGCGGAGCTAGCGGTGACACCTAGCTCCGCCCAACAGTTTTCTATTGTCCGGCTGTTCTGCTGCCGTAAAAAAAAAAAAAATCTCCTGGGCGCTCTGGGAGCCTCCCGCTCCTGGCCGCCCAGGAGAGAAACACTGATTTTTCTTTTTTTTTTCTTTTTCGTCCATTGGCCGGCCGCTTAGCCAGCTTCGGCTTTCAGCGCGGCTCAGCTGAGCCGCTCGGCTAAGTTCGGGAGCTGTACGGACTATTGTGAATAGCCCGTGCAGCAGCCCTTCGGTTCTACTGAACCGAAGGGGTCCTGGGGCCAAAGCTAGCCGAAGGATCTATTAAACTGTTTTGCCACTGGCCAATTTGAATGAAGTAGAGAGCTTCATTTTAGCAAGTAAACTTTCCTATAGCTTTTTGATTTTTTTGTGGCGGCTGCTTTCACTGTTCAATTCAGTCCTATTATTGCTTGATAAAAAATCAGGTGTCACTGCCAAAACTACCTAAAACTATTTTTTTTGTGTGGTGCTGCTGCTGTATTTAAGCCATGCTAAACGTAGAAATAAAAAAATCAATGACACATTCAAAATATGTGATGCCGGGATACAGTGTCTCTTATGAGGCCAATGATAATTGCACTGTTCCGTAACACCAAATACACCATAAAGGCATCTCCCAAGCATGTAATTTAAAAGGCTACTCTTTTTTTCCATGTCACCCTTCAAGTTGCACAATAAGCCCCCTCTGCCTGCTTTACAATATTTAAAAAAATATATTTTTGCTTTGTTAAGTGCCCCTCGTGGCAATGCCCAGCTCCCGTGACATTTTTGACAATAGCTTGCATGCATGAAAATGGCCATAATATAGTATCACAATTCACCCCTCTTCATACACTTTAATTGGGTTTGCAGCTAAGTCCAGATTTTACAGATTTCAAGCATTATTCAACAAAGCCTCCATGAATTGAACTGAGGCAGATTCACTCATCCCTAGTCCTCAAGGGCAGAAAATGGACCGTATCTATTTTATTAAAAGAAATAAAAGTAATTTAATTCAGAGTATTGTAACAAGCATCACCCATGAGCATGGGAGTTGTACAGCCCTGATGTACAGCATGACCATATCAAATAAATGTGTTATATTACAGTGTATGTATAGCCAAAACTTTATTTCGTTTTAGATAGAGTAGGAAAGGATTCCTATCAAGTCTTTATTGCTGTCGGTAGACTGATTTACCTTCTCAGTTAGTCCTGCTGACCAGTGTCACTTAGACATAAATTGATGAGAAGTCCAACATTTTGGAGTTGCCAGAAAAACAAGAGATGGGCGTAAAATGTCCAATGGGAACACCTGTTCTGGTGACCTGTCTTAAAGGGAAATCACAATTACTTTAAAGTGATTTTATCTTACTTCCTTTTGGCATTCAGGATAGGAAGTGAGGGGAAATCTCCCGAATGGGATGCAGACAGCAAAAAATAAACTGGCACTGGTTTTAATCCTTCCCTACTTTATCCAGATAGATACTGTACACTTAAATATAAATAAATATAGATCAAATAAATATAAGTACAACAGGTTACATTATGATGTGTTTGCTGCATATGAGCCTAAATATGATTCTTGTGCTGTGTGTAAACTATGGTGAATATTGAGCATTACCAATTGTGGTGATGACGGTTCCTGCAAAGAAGAAGCAACTCCCAATGTCCCACTGTGAGGTAACGTTGGTGCCATTTACTGGAATATCAGCTCCAGAACCCAGGGCTTCTTTCACCTGCTGTAGAGCCAAACAGTCACTTAACTGTGCATGCCATCATTTCCTTTTCCCCACAGTATATATCATATATCACCCTAAAGGACAGCTGAACGAAAACATGAACAAATAAAATACAACACTGACTCATATCAGATGTAAAGTTTCAGAAAGTTGTAATCTATCAAAGAAGGAAATACAGTGCTCTATATTGCACATATACAGGGTTATACACTAAAGGGGGAAGAGTTTGGAGAAGGCAGGAGAAGTGGACAATCTAGGACAACATAGCTGAACTGGAAAGTGAGCTGAATTGGAGAATTTTTGCAAATCAGCTATTTTGGTCTAGATTGTTCACTTCTCCTGCCTTCTCCAAACTCTTCACCCTTTTGTGAATAACCCTGATAGTATTTTCATTGGCATGTGTTATTGTTTCATTTTGATGATTTTTTTTTAATTTAGTAAGGGTTTAGTGCCCAGATCAGTTCTGAAAGATCATTACATGAGTTAAGGGTCCTTAAACTGTATGTATAGTCAAAACGTTCTTTTTTCTGTTTGTTTTTGTTGTTGTAGTGTGAGAAAGAAAAGAGGTAATTGCTGTGTCCCTGTAAGGTAAATTCTCCTTCACTTTCTGTGACAGTAAAATAAGTTAAATCTCACAAATGGAGACACACCAATAACACTTGACAGGGGTTCTAACCTATCCTTACTCTAAAAAATACTTTTAGCTTAAGTTCTACTTAAAGTAACACTAAACTCAGGATCTAAATCTTATAAATAACATTCAAGTATCCTAACTATTAATATAAATGTAGCTTATTTGTGTACCACTCAGCTGTAGATCCTCAACTCATCTCTGAATTGGTGCTCTCACTGTCTTTCGGTCCCTTTGTGTGTTGTAAAGTAGCCACCGCTGTAAACTCTCCTCTGTGATGGACTACAATCTCACGTATAGTTAGCTAATTTGTATTGAAGTTATATGGGTCTATTCACTAAGCTACCGTAGGCAGCCGAGTGAAAGACCGATCTGAAGTGAAGTGAGCCGAACACTGTTCGGCTATTCACTTCAGGCTGGTACGGCTGATTTCAGCCGTACATCGGCTGAAATCAGCCGTACATCGGCTCACTTCGCGTGGCTTCGGGTCGGCCGAACATGCTCAGCATGTTACAGTATCACTTTAAATCTTTTCAGAATGTAGGGACAGTAGGGACATCTAATAAAAATGCGCATAGTGCTATTCAGTAAATCCCTTCTGTAGTCATTAAAACGACTTCTCATATTTCTTTATAGTGTTTTTTAGATGTATTTTTAATTTTGGAGAATGTAAAGGGAGGTGCTGGAACACCCAGGTGGGTGGGAACACCCAAAACATTCAGGTAGATAGGAATACAGTTGGGAATTAACGCAGGGAGATCTGTTAGAGTATCTAAGCCATATAAGAAGCCAGGGTTTACAACAGAGTCTGCCTATAAATAAAATATTAGGTTATAGTGGACTGACCCTTTGAATAGAAAATTAATAGAGTAGCGTTGCCAAGCCCTATAACAAAAAATATGTTAAAGAAGAACTCCAGGCAAATATCAAATTAACTCTTGCAATGGGGCTACCCCAGCACAGCAAGGGTTAAGTGCTCATTGTGGTCTAGGGTCTAAAATAAACAAGATATACTCACCGGATCTTTAATCCTGCGGTAGTGACAGCTCACCTCTCTCTCCCTCCTCTCTAGCTGTGGTATTCACATCCAAAGCAAGTCAATTCACTTGTTTTAAACATGAGGACTTCAATGGGGCTTAGAGTGCCGGAGCAAAGGCTGCATGGCCCAGTCTAGCAGCCAGGTAGGATTGAGGATTGAGTGAGTATATATTTTTTATTTTAAATTCTAGACCAAAATGAGCACTTAACCCTTGCAGTGCGGGGGTAGCTTTACTGCAGGGGTTAATTTGTAATTTGCCCAGAGTGCTTCTTTAAGGATTAAATAATAACATAACATATTTATAAAATATAGAAAACAGTTATGACAGTGATAGCAAGCAATTAGATTTTTAATTTTATATGTCTTACCCTCCTCAATAAAACAACCACTCAAATCTGATCGGTTCTTCTGAAAAAACATCTAATTGATCTTACAGGTGCTCTAATGGATCTTTCTTGAGTTCAGTCATGCACATACAAATACATATTTATAAAACTCAAACAGTAAAGTCAAAACTGTATAACTAACATATAGAAATGGCAAACAACAATAACACTATGTAACGATATCTATATATGTATATACTGTGTGTATATATATATATGTATATATATATACACACAGTATATATGTTATATATATAATGCTTGTGTATACACAGCATGTCCCATTCAAACTATATTTTGTCCGTGTAAACTACATTTATATAGTCCAAGGAACATAGTAAGTTGCCTGGAAAAATGGGTATAATACACATTGCAGTAAAATGTATCTGCAACAGATGATTGTCGAACTCATTGAATGGCTCAAAGATATGAATGGTGCACAGTCAATCTATACACATTTTTTTCCATAGAGGAGTGGCTTTGGCTTGCACACAACATTGCACTGGACTGCAGCCTGCTACATAATCTAACAATGACTGGACCAATTTTATATTTTTCCTTGATAAATTAGGTGAAGGGGTCACTGCTTTCTCATTCTGTGTCCACGCGACTATGCACAGTTAGAGACACTAAAAAGTGAGCATTACAATGCTTATTCTCCCATTGTTCAACTTTTGGCTTGTCCATACAAACAACACTAGTAGGAATGTTTTATTTTCTATACGGCTTTTTAATTTAAAATAAACATTTCCATTATAGAACTATAAGGTATATTCAGAACCGAATCTGTGGAATACTGCAATAAGAGGAACAGAGGTGCCAGAGGAACAGGAATTAGTTTTTAGGGTGTTCCCTTTAAGCTGAAGATTGTAAAAAGCTCCTATATTCATGCAGATTCTTGTTAGAATAAGCTATTAAGGCTTCTTTAACACTTATCTGTGCTTGTATTGACAGCTGTCAACTTTTGGGGTTGAGGGATAGTAACTCAGATGTCACTGGTAAAGAAGATGTGAATATATCAGCACGTGAATATATCCTTGCTGCATTTGCTGCCATTGTCCAACAAAGAATCTGCAGGACAACCATATCTGTCAGACCTGGTCTTAACGAGGAGCGGTCAATTTGGTTTGCAAAGTATCAATGACATGGCTAAATGTGCTGGAAAGCCTTAATCAGGGTGTATTTACCATTGAAAACAGCAGGCCTGTGCCTGTCGGCAGTGGAGGAAGCTTTGCTATATAGTTACTGGCAATTATTTTCTTGGCCAATAAAACAAGAAAATGTTCTGTGTAAAAGGGTTGATCCTAGCACAATGGTGTTGCCTTGGGTGTCAATTATTGTATGCCTACAATGATGACAATCCAGACCTTGCAATTATCCTGACTCACCCTGTTTAATGGCAATGCTAGACACAGAAGAGCAGGATGGGGGCCCTCATGAAAGATTTATCCTTGCATGTCCTGTAGACAATGCACTGAATGTTACTGAAGAACAAAACATAGTCAAAACATGTGTTATTAAATAATGCAGAGTAAGGGGGCTCTCTACAATACATTCTGGCTATACAATTCCAGCCAATTTTCTCTGCTATGGCAGATTATAATAGGATGCAGTTGATCATAGAACAGTCAAACTTTTTTTTAGCTGCTATATCTAAACGTCATGAGTTCCTTTTGATATATTTTACCAAATGGATAAATTCAGTTCTATCCTCCAGCATTCTGGAAATTTTACAATTTTGAGTAAATGAATCACTAAGTTGATTAATATAGATGACCAAGTTGCTGTAATATTTTTTTTTCTCATATAGTTTCATATAAGATTCTTATACGATAGGAGTCCATATGACCCTAAAATCTAAATATGCAGAATATTTAGCCAATAGAATACTGTCTACTATGTTAGCATTTGGGAGATAGCCAGATATGGAAACTTTCATTACTTTTGATGAAATATCACCCTTTCAGTTGCTTGTATAATATATCACAGGCAATACTTGTTGCTGTACTAAGAATGCAGAGGACACTTTTTCCACACAAGCTTACGGCCTTCATTTACAGAGAGAAGAAAAACAATGTACAATTACCAAAGGAATTCAATTCGATTTCACCTTTCATCAATTCAGGTCAACCCAAATGATGCAAGATGACTGCCCATTAGTTGTTTGCATATAGCTCTTTGCCATTATACATCTTGTAAACTAAGTATTCCTAATATGTTGTGTATGAATTCAAGTGTTATCATTCTATGTATACTGCTTACCAACACAAAATGGTCCAGAGAGTCCTCCTGCACACAGGAGTTTTCTGAAAGGAACTCGGATCGGTGTCTTGTGAGAAGGTCTTGCTGCATAGCCTCAAAGGGTTGTTCAAGCATCTGGAAGACCACCGCTCCGGTAACTAGGTACCCCAGCACAAGACCAAACAACGCCATCACTGTCTTCTTCTTCATGACGTTTTTGCTGCCCTCTACTACCTCTTCAGCTCCAGTTTGATCTCCCAGTAATATGGAATCCTGGGAAGAGCAGGATAGTGGGTACAGGAAGCCGATAGGAAGTGATGCTACTGGGGAGCGACAAGACACTAGAAGAAAAAAAAAAAAATACGAGAAGCTTTCATTTGAGAAAAAACTTAGCAATAGCAACTACATAAATATAAATTAATGTAGTAGCCCAACTTCTACCAACATGATTTGAGTAACTTCTATATGGTCAGTATTTTAGCATATGCATTTAACTACATTATCTAGAATCTAGTATCTAGTCTGCTCAGATTAATGGGTATCTATTTGGTCATTGTTTTATACAGCATAATCTTATAGTAGCCATTTTATATACTACTTGTAAATTAGCTACCTTAATATTGTCTACTAATACAGTTAGAACTAAATAATAACCAATATTTTTAGGTGCACAAAGCTGCAAGGGCATGCCTAAATCTATTCTGACAAGTTTATTAGGTCGTTGTAAATCTGCACTTTAATAAAGCCTCAATATAAAACATCCAAGTTTCACAAACAGCTTCATGTGTATTGATTTTCCAGTGTTTACTGGGGTCATAAAACTAGAAGCAATTATAGATATTAGTTAATTAAATGAAAATACAAAAAAATGCAAACATATTTATACCATTATATTACTATTAGCAATTCTATGGTCAACAAAAACTGTTATGAAAGATTTTCATAAACCCTAGTCAGACTCATCACCGGATTTGGCATGTATAAAGCAGCGTACAAACAAAATGATAAGAGATAAATTACAGCAAACTATAAAATGTTATATTCACAGATAAATAAGGACATATATACAAATAACTCTAGGAACATCTCCAAGCAAAAGAGTGTAAGCTTCCTGGGTAAGTGCTCTTGAGTCTTACTACTTACCAGCTATTTTTGTGTTCTAGCACAAGTATGGTAAAAGATATAAGGTACAATGAACATACAGCTACACACTCACACAATCAGACAGGTATGCCCCCTTACAGCAAGGCCTGCAGCTCAGCCTGTGGGTTAGATGTCCGAAGGAGAGTGATACCCACCACACTAAATCCTCCCTCCTATTCACACACTGCATGGGCGTGGAAATAGGGAGTGAATAAGAGACAGAGGCATTGAAACATATATAGTCACTGAGACAGAAGGAGGGGAAGGTAGATGAGGCTGGATAGCACAGAGAGATGTAAAAATAAAGATTACAATTGCAGCCTGGAAAAGAAAGACAGAGGCAGAGGATGCACATGAAGGCATTATGGCACAGGAAAAGAATTATCAGGATGCAAAGAGGTATCACAAGTCATTCAAAAGATAATGCATAAATTAACCACTGTTTTGCCAACGGTCAAGAGACCTCCTGCACTTACCAGCAGTTGTGCCGATGCACAGATCCTCACATCTGCTTATTCTGCAAGTGTACTGTACAGTATAGGACAGCCCATACACTGCTATGCATAGCACCACTCATTCACTGTACAGCATTGTTACCTAAGCCCCATGATACCAGTATACTTGTACTACAAAGTGCTAAAGCATTTCACTGTCTGAGGAAGCTGAAGATAACCTTTTCTTCTGCGCCGTGCAAGACAACACAATGCTCTTAAACTAGGTTCGCTCATCTTCAGTATCAGTATAAGAGTCCAAATGGAAGACAAGTGCATCAATTAAACACTATTCAGCTAAGACTTGCAAGACACAGCTTAGCCCCTGCGTGGAAATCATCTTTTAACTCTTTCCTCTAGAAGGCATATAGAATCATCTAATGTGTTCTCATTCCATAGCATTACCCTCTTGCCTGATGGAGCCATACAACACTGCATAGCCACCCCACCCACCTTGGTAAAATGCAGGGGAGCAAATATGCCTGCTGACAGAGACCTGCAGTGTCATTTCACCCCTCCCACTACACTTGCTTATTGCTGGCAGTCAGGGGGTTAACGTTCTACATTTTCTCAAATCTTTCATTAATAATGACAATCAATAAAGAACAGTACCAGTAGTACATGCCACTTAACCTTACCACTTAACCCCTTAATAGTACATAAGAAGCCAAACTCAGGGTATTAGCAAGTCAATCATCCACTGACTGTCATAACTGAATACTGTTTTGATATCACACTGCACTAGGCTAGCATCAAAACGCTATAAATTATCATATGCTGGAGTGTCTGGCAGTCTCACCACATACATTTCATATTTTCTGACTGGTTTCCAGAGAAACAGTATTTTAAAGCACTGACCATTCCGTACAAACATTTAGAGAAAACACAATCTGCATGTGCACAATAAAAAAACTTACCACCCATATACTGGATGAATCCCTAACCGATCAGATTGTTTTAGACCGCAACTGTTGGCACCCAGAGCACAGATGGCTTTCCTGTCCAGTATATATGCCTCCAAATATCACAAAAGAAGGATGTATAATCAGTATAGATGATGAAGAGTATGATGATGATGATGGGTATAATGATGACCACATCTCACCCTGTACATACACAAACCAGCAGTTGGTCTAAGCTAAAATGGGAAGGATGGATAATCAGTACAGATTATGAAGAGGATGATGATGAGGATAATGATGACTGCATCTCACCCTGTTCATATCAGGAGCATTTTCATTGTTCCCTTTACAAGCCAGTAGTTGGACTTAGCAACCAGACATCTGGCCCTTTCACATTTGGACTAACCATGTATACTAAAACTAGGGATGTTTAGATACCAAGTACCGTACTTGGTACAAGTACAAGTACGGATACTTTTCCAGCTCCAAGATTGGACTAGAGGAAAAACTCAAAAGTTAGGAGGCAGCTGTCATTTTTAAGAAGCAAACGGGGTCCTGGTACTTGTGCATCCCTGTTTTAATGTATGATTGGTTTTAGAAGTACAGTAATACCTTGGTTTACGAGCATAATTCGTTCCGGAAGCATGCTTGTAATCCAAAGCGCATGTATATCAAAGCGAATTTCCCCATTGGAAATAATGGAGATTAAGATGATTCGTTCCACAACACAAAAATATTTATATAAAACTTATTACAATACTGTACTGTAATATAATACTGTACAAAATATAAAGAAAAATAAACCAATTACCGGTAACTTTGTGGCTGGTGTGAGGGAGACGAGAGAGGAGGATTATTGTGTAGGACGACTTTCACGATCACTAACGGAATCACTGCTATGCTCAATGGAATCTTTTTAATTTCGTGAAACCTTAACAAGGAATATATCCAATGTGACATTGCATTGTCTTTAAACAGATTCATCACTCGCACTGCTACAGATTTATTCGGGTGGTGCTTTTCTACAAAATTTTGCTCTTATTGCAAGACATTGCTTGTATCTCAAGGCTCAAATGTTTGCTTGTCTTGCAAAACACTCTCAAACCAAGTTACTTGTAAACCAAGGTATTACTGTATATATATGAGGGATGCACCGATACCATTTTTTCCAGACCAAGTACATGTGCTTGTCAAGTACTCACAGATACAATTACTGATACATTTTTGTTTAGTGTCATGTGACAGTTTTTCTAAAACAATACAGACTAATGAATTCAGGACAGTGGTGGGGCACCAGGGCAACAGTCGCAGCTGCAACCCTGGTAGTTCTTGTGAAAATGCCAAGTATCGGCACTGGTATCTGAACATTCCTAACTAAAACCTCTTGTTGGGTGACTTATTCTTACCATTTATGAAGATCCTTAAGCTACCAGTACATACTTTTGTATACCATGCATCATGACCTCCCTTCCTTGAAGAAAGATGCAATAATCTGAGCACCTAAATTATATTTCCAAAAGCTTTAAGCAACCAACAAAATGGCAGATGTATTTGGTAAAAGCCATGTGCATAACCCTATAATCACAGAAGGAGTTAATGCACACTGTTATGCTATCAACGTTAGGCAAATTAAACTGTACTACTGGACAATTGCGGACATACTCTGCTGTGCTGCTTGCCAAAATATGTCATAATAGGTCATAATGAAAAATAAACGTTAATCATAATTAATACAAAGGAAGACGATGAATATGGGGAAAAAAAATGACTACAAAAATGAAACTAATAACGAAATAGATTAATAGATAGCTTCCAAGTGAGTGGCTGCAACTGACAGAAAGACATAGAGAGGCAATGAAGAGGGAAAGTATTGATGAGAAGAAGGTGTGAAAGAAGGGAGTAGGCGGTCAGCAGGAAAATTAATCAAGTAGAGTGGGAAGAGGTAGTAAAGGGAGGAGAGTGACGGAAGAAGTGACACAGAATGTGCCTCATTCTCACTGGTTCTATTAAGCTCCACTCTTAGGCACAGCACTCTCTGCTTCTTAGGCACAGCACTTTATGCTTCACGGGCACAACACCCTCCGCTTCACGGGCACAGCACTCTTCGCTTCACGGGTACAGCACTCTCTGCTTCACGGGCACAGCACTCTCTGCTTCACGGGCACAGCACTCTCTGCTTCTGGGATACAGAACTCTCTGTTTCTTGGGTACAGCACTCTTGCTTCTCGGGGCACATCACTTGCTTCTCGGGCACAGCGCTCTCTGCTTCTTGCGCACAGAAGTCTCTACTTCTTGGGCACAGCACTCAATGCTTCTCAGGCACAGAACTCTCTGGTTCTCAGGCAACACTCTCTTCTTCTTGGGCACAGCACTCTGCGATGCTCTGTGTTCTCAGTCTGTCACAGCTTCTGCAGGCCGGTTGACACAAAGCAAAATATATAATATCATAGTGCTGAGACCAGCCTTAACCCATTTCCTGCCTACATACAGAACATTACTTTTCCTTTGAAAGATCCATCTAGTAGATACAAACCTTCACTCAATGCCATTCCTGTCAGAGATGTACAAAGCACATTAACCCATTTACCCCTCCAATGCTGGTATCAGGAGTCTACCTTTGATAAGCTGTAAACAATGTCCAGGTATCAACATACACTGTAGGAATCTACTGCTGTCTGAGAATATGTGCTACTACCTAATACCTTATGTATGAAAACCTCAAATCTGCTACCTG